AATTATTATAAAATTTTTATTAGTCTTAAATTTACTTAACTGATTAGATAAAACTATTCTAAAAATTTAATTTAAATAAAAATTGGTTAATTATTTTTTTAAACAAACAGTTTTTTTATATCTTTGGTATATTTATAACACGCATCAAAATACAATCAAAATTTTGTTTGAATAACTATTTGTTTATAAGATAAATATAAAACAAAAAATACAAATATAAGCAAATTAAACGTGAAATTCATGGCTCGTGACATGAAATTTACGAACACATTGACCGTTGCCAACAATAATTGATACCTTACTATCATTATATATATATATACTGTATATATAGTATATATAGTAGTATATATATATATATTATATAACTTACTCTTACTCTAACTCTTGAATCTCAATTACCATTGACTTTATGCCTAACTTTTAATGATATAAACTTTTTTTTTCTTTCTTTCGCTAACTTTATTTTAGGTGTAAATATTTGTTCAATAAATTACAAGAATTCCTTTTTCTCTTTCTTTTCTATTTTTCCATTCAATTTGAGATTCAGACCTCTAATACATTACAGACGATAATTGTCGGCCAAAAAAGACAGTAAAAAGACAAACATTGAAAATGTCTTACTCTGTAATTAATCATTTGGTTTGAGTATTATAGAGAGCTAATAATAAACTCTCTCTCTCTCTCTCTCTCTCTCTCTCTCTCTCTCTCTCTCTCTCTCTCTCTCTCTCTCATTGACTAACATACTTAACTTGATTTTGTTGTCTTTGAGTATATATTTAGTAAAATACATAAATTCAATAGTTATTGAATAGGAGTCTAAAAAAATCCTAAAAGTGAGAGTATATACATTCTGAATAAGTAGTGATAAAACATGAAAATAAAATACAAAATAATAATTTTTGTGTTCATTCAAACTAACTTTCATTGTATTCAAACTTCTTTAGTATAATATACTGTAATAATATTATTATATGAACTATAGAGTACAGAATATCTATTATATGTATATATATTATGTTTTTCTATAGATAAAATAGTGATAATAGAATTTAATTCTCTATACAGTATAATGCAAATCAAATTAATATTTTATGCAAACATTTAATGTAAAAACATTTATTTAAAAAAAGAGTAAATAAATATTTTAAGCAAATATGATACAGTATTATAATATATTGCATTTGAAAACTATATGAATGTACAATTGAATTGAATTAAATTTAAAAGACTACAAAAAATATCATTATTAATTAGTATTTCTATTAAACTATTAAACTATAAAAATATTATATTATATAATTAGTGTATGAATTTTTTAATTTAAAATTATTTAACTTATTGTATGTTTTTAATTAATTATGAAACAATACTTCAAAATATGTAATAATATAAAATAAATATTATAAATAATTAATTAGTATAAAGTAGTGTATTGTATATTTCTTAATAAAAAATTATTTTTTATTTTAGTTTATAAGGTAAAAATCTATTTATCATTTAGTATTCAAACAATGCTATTAGTTATGATTTATTGCAGACAAAAACAAAAATAATTTGGAGACAAAATTAATTACTTTAATTGCAATAAATATTAAACAAATATAAACCTGTATATTATATTGCTATTTAAAAACATAATACAAATCAAATAAATTATGTTTGAGTTTATTTCATAATAGACTTGTAAAAATTTTTTGTCAAAATACTATTTTAAACTATACTGATCATTTTAATTTTAGTGAAATCTATAAATTTTCTTTAAAAATAAATTTAGAAAACTTTATATTTCATAAATAAAATATTACTTAAATATTATCAATTTATGGTATTTGTTAAACTTAAATTATTATTTTTGTATCAAATAATCTATTTTCACAGTATAATACAGACATCATCTGTATAGATGGTTAGTCTACTTGTAGCCAATAATTGTTTATTTTTTTTAATAATGTTGTGTAAAGTTTAGATACATAACAAATTCAATAATCATAAAATCATAAATGTAATAATTTAACATGTTTTTTACATATCAATATAAGTACAGTACAGTTTATAGTATTTAAATATTGAAATAATCTATTATTTTATTTGCAAATCATACAAAATAGTTAATAATAAATAAAACATATAACAAATATTTATATTATATAATAAGAATAGATATAAATAAATATAAAACTATTTCAATAAATTATAATTGTTTTTTTTGTTGTTGTTTTAATATATAAAACTTAGAAATACAAATAATAATTTTGTAAAAATAAATTTAAGGTTTCATTTTAATAATATGAAACGGAAATTATATCTAACTATAAACAAAAGCATATGGTTTGTGCGAAAAATTTACTAAAAAATTTACCAAAAAAATAAATAACTCATTGAATGGAAAATGAAAAACAAAGAAAAAATCAAAAACATTTTCACGAAATACAAGTAACGATTGAAAGTTTTTTTTAAAAAAAACAAGAAATGTCTTACTATATACAGTATATATACAAAAAAACTAGTGATAAGAAATAAATTGAAATTTTTGTAAATCAATTTTTATGTCTCTCTTTCTTTTCTTCGCTCTCCACATACATATAACAATCCGGAAGGAAACGTAAAATTTAAAACACATTTACTATAAGCACTGGTAGTCAACAATATAATGTCTTTTTTACCGTACTTTATATGACTGTCTCAATGCATAAATCGGAATTTAAGAATAATCTTTGTATATATGGTTTGTGTGATTCTGTGATTAGAATATAATATATAACTTTTTATGATTGAACTATCCATTCAAATAAAATTATATGTGAAACGTATTTATTATATTAATATTTGTAACCTACAGTTTAAACAACTGTAAACAATATTGCTATATATAGACTTATTTGTAAATTAAAAAATAAATAAAATTATTACAGAATTTATATTTTATAAACCACAAAATTATATTATATCATATTTACATAATATTATTGATTGATAGAAAACGTATATATAGAATATATAATTTATTTAAATAAAATACATATACAGTTAGTGTTGGCAAAAAAGAGAAATTTGTAAAATAATAGAAAAATTTCTAAAAAATTTCTAAAAAAATTTAATCTATTGGATGCTCATGTTAATTTTGTTCTCTCGACATTTGTTATCTTGTAACAATACATTGTTTTTGCAAGTAATAATTAAATATTTTTATTAGTATTTTAATTATTAATTCAAGTAAAAAATTAATTTATTTATAGTATTAAACTATGATATATATAATAAAATAATGAATAAAATTTTACGAAACTGATTATTAAATAATTATAATCATTTTATATGTATTATTATTATTATTATTATTAGATAGATATAGATATCCCATTTTGTATAGTAGTATATAGAATAATATTAAATGTATATTATTTCTCATTACTATAGTATAACAATAAAGTTAAATTTCTATAGAAAGTAATTCCTGAGAAATTTTCTTATATTATTAATCCTGAGATATTTTCTAGAAACTTTCTCAGAGAAATTTATTAGATACTTTCTATTTGTCCATCTCTATATATGCAGACTATTTAACTTAATTTTAAACTTATTTCTATAGAAGATATTCAAATTTTATGCAAATATCACATTATATATCTTAACTGAAAGACATATTGAAAAGTTAAAGTTAATTTGATTCATACATTTTGGGTCACAGATTATTGATATGATAAGCGAGTAAAATAGTATTCAGATAATACTATTATTAAAAATTAAATAAAACTAGTAATAATAATATTATTGATATTAATAAATATAAAGCGACATACAATTCATGTGTAAATAGTGTGTTTGAAAGCCTTTATATATAAATCATTAGTCAAAAAAGGTTACAAAAATATAAGATATATATATATTATATTATGGTTTCTATATATTTATATAATCAGAGCATAAGATTGTTATCAAATACTGGTTTTATTTATCATTTTCTGTCATATATTAATCATTTAATATTTACATATTCACACATATACTGTAGTATTTGGTTTTAAAAGATTTTTAGTATTTGTTTTATTTGTAGTTGCATTTGTCAACACAAACAATAGCTTATTATTTAATAATGCAATTATTTTTATTTGCCATTCGATGGCATTAAGAATTTATTTTATTTTTTAAAAATAATTATACATTATTTATGAGAAACTATTAATATAATATTTTAGTTTTATTAAATATACATAACAAATATAACTTAAAATAAATGTTTATAATGTATAACATTTGGTTTGTTAGATTTACTCACAAAATGAAAGATCATATTTTCATTTGAATTTAGAGACACTGTCTGTCATTTGAACACAAATTGAAATACTAAATGTTATATCAAAAGTAAAAATTATAAATAATATAGTTTTATATTTATTTAATATGAAAAAACACATTATTCAAAGTGTTTACAATTGCATTATATAAGATAATATCAATATTATTAAAAATTTAGTTTTGCAATGCTTCATAAAATGTAATATTTGAATTTAATTTAATATATTTTTTCTTAGTTTAAATTTAATTAAATTAATAATACATAAAATACATAATCGTATTAAACATAAAGTAATACTTTTCTGATACTTTTATACAGAAATAAATTTATTTATATTTTTTTTCATTTAACAAAATTCGTATTAAAAATTTATCGCATGTTTTCCATAGCATAACTTTTGGCAATAAAGAGTATTACATGTCATTAACGGGTATATAATTCAGTAGTAGTTTTATTATTATATGACTGAAGTTTGTTACAGTATATCACACGTAAAGTTATTTCTAATTTTATAATATGTTTTTTCACATACAATATAATACATTAACAGTATACAGAATTATATATAAACTATAGTATAATAATACTGAGGATAACAAAAAAAAGTATATTTATATATAAAACTTGAGCCCTGTTTTTAACGATGATATCGCGCGCATATAACATATCATAACTAAATGTTTGACAATTTATATGACAGTTAATGGAGTGACGGTAACACAAGTGCACATCATATCCATAAACAGCGGAAGAAGCGATTATGTAATACAAGGCGAAAGCGCACAACTTTCGTGTCATTACTTATTCACAAAACCGGAGGAAAGGGTCCAATCTGTCAGATGGGAAAAGGATGGACAAGACGTATGTGTTGTGACTTTTATATCACTTTTATATTATATTATTATTATTATTATTATTATTATTATTATTATGCCGTTGACTTTCATTTAAAAACAATACATTAGAAATTTACAGCCATTAAGCGTATTGTATATAATATTTTATTAATATATATATATATAAGTAGTTGGTACCTAAGGGTTCACATGAGGGAAAGCACAGTGCTTTCCCCCATATAGCTGTGTCACGGAGAGGGGGTTCACGTGATCACGTGACTCCACCTAACCTAACCTAAGTGAAGTACACCAATGACGTCACTACTACCTCTACCCAATCTGACCACCTACCCGAACTGACCACCTACCCGATCTGACCACCTACCCGAACCGACAACCTAACCGAACTGACCATCTTACCCGAACTGACCACATACGCGAACTGAGCAACTACCCGAACTGACCAACTACCCGAACTGACCAACTACCCGAACTGACCAACTACCCGAACTGACCAACTACCCGAACTGACCAACTACCCGAACTGACCAACTACCCGAACTGACCAACTACCCGAACTGACCAACTACCCGAACTGACCAACTACCCGAACTGACCAACTAMCCGAACTGACCAACTACCCGTTCTGACCAACTACCCGAACTAACATTAACTATTGCATACAATACATGTAATATAATGACATCACTGTATTGAAATAGTATGTACACACTGTATAGCAATAGTAATACATATACTGTATATATTAATTAACTTAAATTGTTAATAACTTTTTTAATTGTAATTAAAATTAAAATTTTTTATTCTTAAAAGATGCTTAAAAATGTGTAGTTTAAGCTAATAAAAAAAATAATTATGAAAAATTAACAAATAAGCGGTCAAATTAACAAATTAGTGTCTTATAGACTGTAGTACGGAATACATTGGATTGAGGCTAGCATTGTATTCAAACATACATCAAATTAACTCGCCAGTGGAAGATATCAGTGTATAACTGAGTCTTGAATTTATAATTTGTGATTATTTATATAAAAAAATAAAGTAAGCACAAAAAAATTTTTTTTTTAAAAACTTTTCAAAAAAAAACTTCAAAAAAAAAACTTTACAAAAAAAATATTTTCAAAAAAAATATTTTCAAAAAAAATATTTTCAAAAAAAAAATATTTTCAAAAAAACTTTTAAAAAAAACTTTTCTAAAAAAAAAAACTTTTAAAAAAAACTTTTCTAAAAAAAAAAACTTTTCAAAAAAAAAAAACTTAAAAAAAAAACTTTTTAAAAAAAACTTTTAAAAAAAAACTACAAAAAAAAAACTTTTCAAAAAAAACTTCAAAAAAAAAACTTTTTCAAAAAAAAAACTTCAAAAAAAAAAATTTTCAAAAAAAATTTTTCAATAAAAAAACTTCAAAAAAAAAAATTTTCAAAAAAAATTTTTCAATAAAAAAACTTTTCTAAAAAAAAAAAACTTTTCAAAAAAAATTTTCAAAAAAAAACTGTTTAAAAAAAACTTTTCAAAAAAAAACTTCAAAAAAAAAACTTTACAAAAAAAATATTTTCAAAAAAAATATTTTCAAAAAAAAATATTTTCAAAAAAACTTTTAAAAAAAACTTTTCTAAAAAAAAAAACTTTTAAAAAAAAAAACTACAAAAAAAAAAAACTTTTCAAAAAAAACTACAAAAAAAAAACTTTTCAAAAAAAACTTCAAAAAAAAAACTTTTTCAAAAAAAAAACTTCAAAAAAAAAAATTTTCAAAAAAAATTTTTCAATAAAAAAACTTTTCAAAAAACTTTTCAAAAAAAATTTTCAAAAAAAAACTGTTTAAAAAAAACTTTTCAAAAAAAAACTTCAAAAAAAAACTTCAAAAAATATTTAGAAAAATATTTTTCTTTTAAAATAAATAAATAGAAAAAATAAATAGAAAAATATTCAGAAAATTTAATAAATAATAATTAATTAATAAAAATAAAAAATTATTTTTATTAATTAATTATAAAATAATATATTATTTTATAAAATCTAATATTTTAACAAATTTTATAAAAGTATACTTTTCAGTATTTCAACTATTATTTTTATCGATCAATTCAACGCAATGGACAACAACAAAGCTATCCCGGAGCCAATGGTCGAGACGGAAGTCCCTATGGTCGAGACAATGCCGGTATCTATGGTCGAGTCGGAGGTTCCTATAGTCGAGTCATTGGCGGTCCCTATGGTCGAGTCAATGGTGGTATCTATGGATGACGCAATTCCAGACCCTAGAGAATCAATGGATGACGAAATACTTGATGTAAATGACGACATATTTAACGATGATTTCAGTGACGACTTCTATGTAAACCTTGATTTGTTGGTCAACAATAATTATGGTTTACCAGTACAAGATGGTGCTGGTGCTGATGAGTCGTATATGGAAAGTCAGGACTCACTTATGGACACACCTCCCGACTACATACCTGTCAATGACAACAACGACAATGACAACGACAACAACGACAACAACGACAACAACGACAACAACGACAACAACGACAACAACGACAACAACGACAACAACGACAACAACGACAACAACGACAACAACGACAACAACGACAATGACAACAATGACAATGACGACAATGACGACAATGACAACAATGACAACAATGACAACAATGACAACAATGACAACAATGACAACAATGACAATACAGGTATGTATTAAAAATTAAATAACTTATTATGCAATTATTATAATTAAAATTTTTGTTTAGTTAAACAATTGGTCAAGTTTCATGTATTGAATGAGTCATCTCATTCATACATTAAATTTAAACGGCAAGAACACCGTAAAGACATCCGCTTTCAACACAATTTGGGTTCAATTGATAATTTACTTCAATTAAATGATCAAATTGATGAGATGTATGAGTCATTGGTGCGACCGGCATTCCGTAACCACAATGTTGGCGATTATTATAGTGTGATAATTGAAGCACAGGGCTTGAATAAACCATTATATATGGGTGGAAAAGCAATCTCACAATTTGATAAACATGAGTTTGCCAACAAAATCTTTGGACTAATACAATCTAATACAGAGTTTTTACTTTCTGTATTTAAAATGAAAATCTATGTAACTGAAGCACCACAGGGATCAGGACCTAATATGAAAAACAAAAGACATTTACCACCAGAAACTTCAGATGAAAGGAGTAAACGTATAAAATGCATTGTTAGGATTGATAACAAAAATGGTATTTAAAAGATTATATATTTATTTTTATAATATTTACAAATATATTTATTCATATAATTTCAGATGTCGGTTGCGGTTATAGAGCTGTTTGGGTTGGTGTTATGTGGTTTGTCGAAAGTTTTACTAATCAAACACTTCGAGGAAACAGTAGGTGGAGAAAAATTACTGCTAACAATAATTCCGACAAATATCAAAAAGAAGAATCGGAAAAGCTGTGTAATTTGGCCGGTCTTGATTTCAACAAACCTTTTGGAGAAAAACATTGGAATCAAATGCAGGAGTATCTCAGCACTATTAAATTAACTGATGGTTCAAGTGGATTACAGTTGATAATTGTCGACTCATCAAATGTCGACAATTATCTATTTCAAGGCTCTATAGATTTTCCCAACAAATTATTTATGGAGCACATCGACTACGGTAAAAACACTGGACATTATAATTTTATTAAAGACATCAATGCTTACACACAAATATCTGATCTGTGTAAGTATTGCTTAACAAAACATCAGAAAATAAATCATTCATGTAAATATGTGTGCAACTACTGCTCAACATATCCAAAGTGTGACGTTAACAGTGATAAAGTAGACTGCGATTTATGCAATCGTAGTTACGCAAATGATAAATGTTATCATAATCACAAAGCTAACAATATCTGCAAAGTAAAATCAAAAATATGTAGTACTTGTAATGTTGAATACTCAACTCATAGAAGAGCAAAACATGTTTGCTATCAACTAAAATGTACAAAATGTAGTGTGTATTACAAAGAAACACCGCATTTTTGTTATATAAAACCTTTGGATATAGAAAAACTGGAAAAAGAAGACAAAGAAAACAAACTAATAGTTTGTTTTGATATTGAAAGTGAACAGATAGCTCAAAATAATGGTTTTTATGATCACAAACCTAATCTACTCATTTCATGTAAGTTATTATATAATCATTTTAAGAAATTACAACTAATTACAAATATTTTACACAGTATGTGTTTGCGACAAGTGTTGGGATTACCAACAAATGGCGAAAAGATGCGATGTCTCAATTGATGAACCAAATGACGGATGTAAAGTGTGCGGATATGGTATCCGTACATTCTATAAAGAAAATGTAGTCGAACAGTTTTCAGACTATTTATTCAAAGATGTCGCTGTAAGAGCTTCAAAAATTAAAGCACAGCTATACGTAATTGCACACAATTTCCGAGGATATGATGGTCACTTCATATTTCAGGAATTGTTTGGAAGACAGTTTGGTGATCCGAGTGATATAATTATGAATGGTATGAAAATACTTAAAATTACAAACAACAACACATCATTCATAGACTCGTTGAGTTATTTCCAACAACCACTGGCTTCACTGCCAAAATCGTTTGGCTTTCAAAACATTGTCAGCAAAGGATTTTTCCCCATCACTTCAACAGAAAAGAGAATTACGACTACTCTGGTGAAATACCAGATATCAAACACTTTGGCATTGATGAAATGAGGTCTTCAAAAGAGTGTGTGGAGTGGTATAATGACTTCAAAGCAAACAATTACATATGGAACTTTGAACAACAAATCAAAAAGTATTGCTTAAATGATGTAATAGTACTCACAATTGCTGTGATGGAGTTCCGCAAACTGTTCAAAAACTTCACTGGTTTGGACCCCATAACTCGTAGATTCACATTAGCCGGTGTTGGACTGGAGTATTTTAGAGCTAAAATTCTAAAAGACAATATGATTGGTGTCACACCTATCAACGGTTATATCGA